ATTTTTTTTTTTTTTTTTTTTTTTTTTTTTTTTTGTTACCAGGGATCAAACTCCAGACCTTGCACTTACAAGATGGGCAATTTCTAATATTCACAAAATAAAAAAGTATAACAAGCCCCATGTACTTATGATCTACCACCTTGATTGATTAATTTAGAGAACTAAATGATCTTTCAGAAGATACAGAAGTTAATTCACTACTGAATAGTTGAAGATTCTGATGTAATCAGAACTTAATCAGAATTTCTTTATTATTTTATTCATTCATACAACAAAATTCATTGAGAGTCTGATTTGTTCATTAGTGCCTAGTGGCTAGCAGCCTTGAATGAGTGTAAATTCTAGCTCTGTTGCTTGCTAGTTGTGTGGCCTACAAGCAAATTAAAATATCCTAAACTCTGTAATCCCAGTACTCAGGAGGCTGAGGCAGGAGGATTGCCATGTTCGAGACCAGCCTGAGCTACGTAGTGAGTTCAGGGCCAGCCTGAACTATAAAGGGAGATGCTGCCTTAAAAATAAATAAGTAAATACATACATACATACATACATATTTTATTTTATTTTTTTTTATATCCTAAGCTTGTTTCCACATTGACAAAATTGACTTCATGCCCAAATATACCTCATACGCATGTTATAAGGATTAAGTGAGATACATTGGCATTCACAATAAGTATTAACTTCTGTTATTGTAAATACCCTTTTACTTTTTCCTTGTCAGTGTGTCATCTATATTTTGTGCTAAGTGCAGTTGGATAGTGTGAAAGGATAAAGATGGGGAGTTTGACCTCAAAGAACTAGAATTCCCAAATCACATGATAAAAGAGCTAGGAGGGATCTTCCATATTATCTAGTTTGATGAGCTCTAAAACATTGAATAAATTGTCCAGGATTACATAGCTAGCTGTTGGTAGCAAAGCCAGACCAAAGCTCAGGTGCCCTAACTATGAATACTCTCTTACAGAATGACTGTTTAGTTGCTGTGTCCTGCTCCTTCCCCTTCCTTAAACCCTTCTCATCCTAAATTGACAGTCCTGGCCTGCATGTTTTTAGTCTTCTGCCTTTTCAGTGCAAGCACTGAAGAATATGAGAGGCTTTTTGGACACATCAGATCTGAACATGTCCCTAGGTCCTCCCTCCTTCAGATTCTAAGGAAGACATTGTGGAGAAGTGGACAAACTGTCTCTCTGCATGTAATCCAAAGATGTGTTTATCTTCTTGTGTTACAGCCCAGGAGTTAAAGTCACTGTTTGAAAAAAAATCCCTCAAAGAGAAACCTCCAAGTTCTGGAAAGCAGTCCATATTATCTGTCCGCCTGGAGCAGTGCCCTTTGCAGCTGAATAATCCCTTTAACGAGTATTCCAAATTTGATGGCAAGGTAAGTTTAAAAAATGAGACTCTGTCCCTTTAAGTACAACAGTACAATTGAGTGGAAGTGTTGGTTGGTGTTAGATTTAGGATTTCAAAAGTGCCTCGGTAATTACTGAGAATGACATTAGAATGTCACTCACATTTTCTAAGACTATAGATATGAAAAAGTAAGAATTTGGGCTCAGTGTTTGCACAGTAATATATTTGGGAGGATTAAAACAAAACAAAATCCTGAGGTCTCTCTATATTTACAGATAGCATATTTTTAAAAGAGGGAGAACTACATATTTGTTTGTTTTATCTCTCAAGTATACTTTAGAGTTTGGGCCAGTTGGATTGTGACTAAGGTCTAATTGTGCTGGGAAAGCCTTGAAAATGGTTCTGGGAGGCAGTCTGCATCATTTTGTTTAATTATTACAGCTGCAGAAATTGTTAAGGTTTAAACTTCCTTTCACATTTCATTGTGGTGGTGGGGTCTTGTTTGACACTTGCCATGCGAGATGACTTTATTTTTCTCTTGTTTGTTCTACTAATTTGTTGTTATAAAATTAAAGTGCATTCATTTTCCTTTTAGAAAAATGGCCACTGTTTCAGAGGAGCCTTGTTCCATATGCAGCACCCCCTTCCCCCATTCACTCCTGTTCTGTGTCTCTATGCTGAGCTGAGTGGGGCCTTTTTTAGGCGACAGTAGCAGTTGATTTTTATATTTATTGCCATTATGTTTGCTGCCTGGCAGTGGTGTGTGGGTGCTTGAATGATCGTTTGCTGCCTAGATGGGTCCTGTACTATTTGTCTTATTTCAACACCATTGCAATTAATAAGCATGCTGCTCTTTGCTTATGTTTGCATTTTTCTTATTCATGTGCTAGTTCTGTCAATTGTCGTCTTTAAGCAAAGAGATGTTTTCTCATACAATTTAGCCTGCTTCCATAGGTTGAAGTAAATATACGTGGTAAGGTTGACGTTTGTGGGGAAAGAGCAAGAACCAGAAGTAAAAAGCATAGACAACAAAGATCTTATGCTCAGGAATTTCCTCCAGAAAATATCTGAAAGCTTTTAGTAAATTATGTATTACATTTCTCTGAAACTTCTCTTCAGCCTGCCTGTGCTGCCTTCTTCTGTCCTTCTGTGGAACAAAGCAAGAGAGGAAAGATTCCCCAGAGGACTAGAATCAGACTGTGGAGAATTAAAAAATATATATTACGATTGATTCATTTAGATAGAAATTATTGTTGGGGTTAGGATACACTGCTGGAGTTTCTTTGCTTTTGTTGACTGATATCTCATTGTTTAAGGATGTAAATTACAGAATAATTGTTGTGTGTAATGCTTTCATGTCAACAAAATAGCACAGCCCTTTTAAAATATTACATTCTAGAATTTTCCTTATGCCATTAGATTTTATTATTAATTACTTGGGTTTTTATTTGTCAGAATATTGTGAACTCTGCTTTGTTCCTAAATCTATCTTCTATAGTGCCAGGGAAAAATTTTTTAGCATGTGTAAACCATTTCTGCAGTCTCAGAATTATTTTTGTTAGATGTGTGTTTATACAAAGACTCTCTGCTTTTGCCATAGCAAATCTTTCTGTAATCTGCCAGGGATGTAAACATAGAGCAGTCACTGTTACACATTGATTAAGAAAGATTTATATATCGATAAGTCTATCTTATGATATGATGCAATTTTATTATTATCTTACATATTACAATTGCTAAAATACAATTAAACTCTTGTTCTCATCTATTATTTAATATTGATGCGTTTGGCAGATATGTAATGAAAGTGGCTAATATTTGAAGGATATTGTACTCTACATATTTAATTAGTCTTTCTTTATCTTTATGAAATGCATCAATATGATATTCAAAGACATCTCTGATTAATAGAGAATTATACTTGAGTCAAGCCTTTTTGTAACCTAGAAATTAAAATGACTATTCAAATAACACCTCAAAATGATCAAATTAGCATTTTGTGATTGCATAATAATGGGATTGTAGTAGTTATAGCGCACCATGGCTGCCTCTGGAGTTAAGATCATGTCGACCCCTTGATAATAAAGCCTTTTCCAGCAAGTCGACTTTAATAATTTCCAGATTGATTCTTCCCATAAATCATCTGACATTCAGCACTAAATTTTTGTTACTGTGGTAACTTAAAATTATTTTATTTTTATTCTGCTCATATTTAAGTTATGAATTTCCTGTTTTAATGATTGTTGTTGGTACTCCATGCTTTTTGCTTCAAGTGTAAGGATTTTCCATGTAGTATTTTGATACAGACACACATATTTTTTAAAAAGATTTGTTGAAACCACTGAAATATATATTTTTGCCCCTACAAATATCCACAGTGCTTTTCTTGGGAATAACACTTGCCTTATTTACATAATTAACTGAGTTGCCTAGGTCTCTTGGGCAAATTGGCACATAATTGGGGAGAGAAAGGGACAAGGAAGAGTTTGGGGTCCAATTAAATATGCTAAAAAACTACTTAATTATGTATTTCCTCAGGAGACTAGCTGCTGTGCCATCCTCTTTAAGATTAAACCAGAGTAGAGTTGAAAAAAGGATTTTATTTTTGGTGTGGCTTTACAATTGTTTTGCAATTCAGCACATCTAGTGTCCTTAACAGTTAGTTCTAGTGAATCTAAGTATATGCATTGCTTAGCTCTTGTGCTAAACTAAAGCAAATATTTTCAGTAATTTTTGGTTCATGTAGCTGGCTAATACATTGTAAAAATTTTTATTGTGGTTTGTTAATAAGTTATTTAAGGCATGAAATTGAGAGAGATGCTAAAATGTAGTTTTGAGGGGTTTTTGTTTTTTGGGTTTTTTTGGGGGGGGGTCAGGCTAATTATTACATTATTTCTTTGACAAACTGATGATACTATCTATAATTTGTCTCTAAGAGTCTTAAGTCTCAGATTATTGTTTAGTGATCATTTGTTAAAAGTTGAAGGCAGGGCTACAAGGTGGTTTTAGGGGCTGTTTGATCAGAGAAGGCAAAATGAGGCTCAGCCATCTGCCTGAATTCTTTGACTGCTAAAAACAGAACCTCTGTATAATCTCATTAAAAAACATATATTTGGAGATGGAAACAATCAAATAACTTCTTGGAGCAGTCCTGACTTGACTGTGTGTGGGGCACAATGATTGTGTCTGGAGCTGCTTTGATGTGAGCGGGAAATGGGCTCTGCTGGTAGGCAGGAGGTATGGGGCAGTTTGAAGTGTCCTGGAGTAGGTTCCCTGCCTGTTTCTCTTTGTTTAAAATGAGATCATATTCTAAGTAGCGACTGTTAACTCTTGTCCTTTCATGCCTATCACTTACTTGAGAAGCTTTTGCTAGTACATCATCACTATTCTGGTCCAACTGAGTTTGCATATATTATTGTCATGATTAGACCATCAGAAGTCTAAGTACCTATTTCCTGCCAGTACACTTACTAAGAAATGGTACTGATTATAAATTGTGTCATCTCATTTTTTTTTTGTCACCTCTCTGAACCTGTTTCTTTACCGCTGGAAAAAGATAGCATCACCAGGCTGATGAGACCATCAAAAATAATGCTAGAATAAAGAATTGTGCATAATGAGAGGCAATATGGTGAATAAACTATTCTATTCTTTAGTAAGACCTCAGTTTATATCCTGAGGACGACCCTTACGGCAGGCTGTCAAGCTATTTATTTAAGCTCATGAAACTTGAGGTGGGATCTGGACATACTTCCCTAAAATGTGGTACCACGGGGTAGTGATGATTCTAAGCCGAAGAAATTGAGAAATAGCAGGAAGGGTTTTCTCAACTTTCCACTGTCCAGCTCCCTGAAGAAGGCCACAAAGTCTTTGTGGGAAAGGTGGAGGGTCTGGAGAGTAATGTGAAAGGAGGGGCCTTGCTAAATTTCCCCCAGTTAACTGTGCTTTTTTCTTACCCCACTTCCCATCATGTTTTCCACGTTTTTCCACTCTCCACCATACATATAATAAAACTACTCAGGTTTAACTGTTTCCTGGAGTCTTCATTTCCTTAGGAAGGCTCCATGTCATGTGAAATTTACATTAAATGAATTTAGATACTTTGTTCCTATTGATCTGTTTCTTATTAATGAGACCCCAGCCAAGACTTTAGCAGAGTAGATGTTAAAGGTATTTTTTCTCCTCTACAGGTTCTAGTCCTCATGTGTGAAAGGGAGTGAGGAGAGTGGTCCTCCTCCCGAGGAGTAAATGAGACGAGGCCCGGTTAGCAGGACGCATAGCACGTAGGAAGCACTCGGAAATAGCCCACTGTGTCTCTGACTAAAGGAGGAGCAGTGATGATGTCTGTTCTGTGCTTTATTAGGTTGTCAGCAGGATTGAGTGAAAAGAAACTGCTCTTAAAGCAAAGATTCTAGGATAGAATCCTTAGATGGACAAGGTGTTCGGCCTGCCGGTAGGAGTGCAGGAACCTGATGGGATTTTGGCCCTCACTTCAAATAGGAAGATTAAGAGAAATAATTACTTTTTTATTTTAAATTTATTATTTATTTATTTTGAGACAGGGTTGTGCTCTGTAGTTCAGGCTGGTCTTGAACTCTATGTAGCCCCGGCTAGCCTTGTATTCATGGTAATGCTCCTGCCTCCCCAGTGCTGGGCTTACAGGTGTGTGCCACCATACCTGGTGACTTTCTTTTATTTTCATATATTATTTTATTTTGGGGGAGGCAGTGTCTTTTTAAAAAATCAGTTGAGAAGTTAGTTGGATATTAGTAGTTGCTTGGCAGTTTAATAAAATGTTAAATATCTTACCTACTTGACTTAGCTAAGTACTACGCTAAATATAATGTTAATATTTGCCTTGACAAGTGCTTAAAAAGGAGAACCAGTCTGGTCGGTATAGACAACTGTGACTTTGATTGTGTTAACTTGTTAGAAAGTAACCACTTCTCTGTTAGAAACTCTTTTAACAGGGAAACTGCAGAGAGCATGGGGGAAGGGATAATTCATGAGTGCTAATTGCTTGGCTGT